TCGCGCGGCTAATATATGCTTCGATTCGTTTTGTGTAAGAACCTCTCGACATGAAACAGCGTTCAAATAGTCGCTCTCTCGTTTCCGATGAACTAACATGTAACTGGGAATTTGGAACCACTGTCCACAACTTATTTGCTTGCGGAAAATAGATAACTAAATAGGTCTGTTTCACTTTCGGGCCGCAGCAACAACAACAAGAACAATAAAAGCTTGCATTCTAAGTTTCCGGCACTTACACTACCGAATTCGTGAAATCAGGCTCATAGAAGTCATTTGGTTGAATTAAATATCCACCGAAAAATCGGTCTTTCAAAGCGAAATCCTCCTTCAGCGTTAGTGAGAATCGTTCGCATTTAAATTTAGTGTTCTAGATATTTCCTAGATGTATTTCTTACGTGACCCTCAAATACTAGGCTCAATTCCTACAATAACCACTATTAGACAGAATTACACACACTGACAATAATCTCCCTTAACCAAAGGTATACGATAGATGGAAAATACTTTGAATTCTGGTACTGAATCACAACTCCAAAACTCGATGGTATCCGTTGAAGGTAGACAAACCCCGCATGACTTCACCAACTCCTGAAAATACGCTACGCAATCACTTGTGGATATACTCTTGTGACACTGCTTCTCGCTCTTCCTTCAAAGTCTTTCCCAGGCTCTTGGAGTTTCAACCATTCTTTTTGGTTATTATTCTACCCATGAGCTGCTAACTATTTTTGATGGGATTGATGTCCGGGAAGTAGGCTGGTCAACGGTGAGAGAGAAGCGGTTGGTAGTGGTGATAGCGCAGTGATTTAGTCACCTTCACCGGGATGCTTTGGACCTTATGGTCCGAGGTTCGAGCCCCGCCATCGCTCCCTACTTTGGTGGTATGCAGCTTTGCTATCGTCCGGTTCAGCAACTGGCCTAACCTAGAGAAAGAGGCCTAATTTAGTTCGCTACTCCAAGTCCATGGGCTTAGGTGACTGGGTTTCATCAATAAACAGCAGGTTCTCATGACTATGAGGCTTTCCGAGTCTGCTGTTCATTACACTGAAAATTGTATGCTAAAAGAACTGCGGGGTTCATAACCTAATATGGTGGAGCGAATACCTGCCTAGAGCAACACAGTGCTAAGCCCAAGTGGCACACACAGTCACGATTGAAGTTTGATTTCTTTTATCTACCCAAATTGCCTCTAAAACTTGGATGGAACAGCCACATCTTTATGCAGCGGGACGTGTTCCACAGTCAGATGAGCGCCACACATGAATTCTTCCGTCGCTCTGTCACACGCCTTCTTTAATCAAGATAGACCGCAGACCAATTCAATAACTCCAAGGATACCGTAGCATGGCTCACTAAAGTCTCACGTTGCCTGGTTCGTGTTGCGACCAAACTGGTCTGGTTCAAGTGGAAGTTGAGAGTCCTAAATAAAAGCAGTGTAACGATATAGCTTATGCAGTGCTGGTTCAGAAAAGGATCGAGTAGCCTTTTCTTTCCATGACACACAGGCAAAAACGGTAGATGAATATGTTATGACACCGCCAATCTTGCTACAGAATGATAAAATTAATCACCAAGTCCATTTTTNCATTTTTTTTACTCAGATTGAGCCAAAGACGCCAAAATATGTCAGCTTGGGCGAAATGAGTTATATACTGTCTATGTTGTTAGGTTATCATTCTATTGTTTTGATACATGTTACGGTCTAATAAATGCTGCGCGACAGAAGTTCTCCGCACTTTGTTACCCTCGCAGGTGCTAAATTCTTCCGGATGTATGGCTGATAAACTTTGTTAAGGTCGAATTCCCAACGAGACGCTAGTGCACAGGATTGTTAGGGCCCCGTAAACCAACATAAGAAATCAGTACACACAAGGATCCGAACCGGGTTACCCATTTACTGATCCATCACGAAAATGCATCAATCGATTAAACGATGGCCTAAAACTGGGTCAATCTAGCGCGCGGACAAAACGGCCTGCAAGGTCAATGCCAGTGTCTATGATGATCAACTTAATCACGTGATCAGACGATCGATAGGAACTTATGGACGAATGCGCACGAAGCAGGCCTAATGGACAGCTTCACCGCAGCACGTCCAACGAACCTGCCACCGCATATGAATAAATACAATAGTAGGTATCATACGAATCAGACATGTCCAAAGCTGTTTCCGTTTGTTTCCGTTTGGGCACAACTAACAGTGGAGCAGCACAGAATTTCCGAATTTAACTTAAAACTTTTATAATGGATAAATTACAAAGCTGATGCTTAGGATCTGTACAAACCGGGTTCCGTTGTTAGCACAAATAAATGGCAAATTATAACGTTCACTTACGTGTACTGAACAATGGTGTCTCAAGACTTCATTGAGCCTTGACTTGAATGAATCAATAGTTGGAGCACAAACAACTTGAGGTGGACGAAAGTTCCAGATACTGCAAACTCTGAGGCTGAAAGAATAAGGTCTGCAGTCTAACCAATTCTTCTGGAGGAAAAGTTTAAATTTGTGTCCCCTGAGGTGACGATTTCTGGATGGTGTTAGCACAGTACTACAAGGGTAGTTAGGTTGATGTAATATCCAATATACGAGGATCGTGGCTCCCCGTATTCGACGGTATTCAGATGAATAGAGTCCAAGAATATGCAGCGTTTCACCGTAGGTTTTAGATTGTACCCCTTGGCCCGTTTTGATTGCTGTTCTCTGCCATGAATTACAAGCTTGTATAGTATGCTCGGTGTGTGGTCCAATGTATACCGAAAGCAGACAGGGCCATTAGTTTTATTTTGTGCTTTGTCATCTCCTCTGGACGGAATAGTCAGATAAACCTTCTAGTAGGGCCAAAAGACCTCTCTCGTGCACTTCTATTATCAACATATTTTTTGTTGGAACTTGGAGGTATGTCGGTCTTCCGGTGGAGATTAGACTGTTTTAAGCGGAAATTATCATTCAAGGTATCTAGGGGACGAATTAGGCGGCTTTTGTAAGCAGAGTGCGAGGAAGAGGAAATAGGTTTTAAAACTCTGATGATGACATGTACCTGCAGGTCTATGGAACACTGATTGTATCAGTGTACCGACTCTTGCACAATTATTGATTAGTAAGAGAGAAATAAGGAGAAACTCATTTTGTAACACACCGCGGTACTATCGTGTATCAATGTTCACATCCCATTTGATATACGTGAAAACCTTTCACTAATTCACAGACCCCACGTTTTCCGTGTCTCACCGCCTCATAGCTGTTTGACTCCCCACATGATAGTGTATTCCAAACATGATAGAACGCAAGGCACTCTCTACTGACCATGTAGTAAAGGTATAAGTGCTCCTATTTAGGTGGCCGGAAGAGTTGCAAACATACTACAAACCATGTAGAAGTCCCCATATAAAGAACCTCTACGCTTTATGGACCAAACAGCGCTTGATTGTGTTTAAATGCAGGAACTGATATCGTGTTTTCCTCTAGTTTCAGAAGAATCTAATTATTCTTGCCAGTAGAACATAGGGAAGGTAAACTGAGAAGTATTAGGAAGGGAGTGGCTTTACATCGTTTTACATCGTCCCGGTTCTTTAGGGTGAGACTTCATTTGGCTATATTTGTCTGTCCGACAGTGGAATGCTTCATTTAGACAAAAATGCGGCTTCACGGGGTTGGCGAAAGCAGGTGATACCAAACACCATCAATAGGATCAGAAGTGATGTTAGAATTCGGAAACAACGTTTGTTCTCATCTGTGACTGTGTAGATGACAAACATTTCAGACTATTTGATTCTTTAAATCTATGTTCATGCATGCATTCGGGGATTATCTACCGCATTTGATTCTGCACTCAATGACGAACTGCTCAGAGAAATTGATT